GAATACTATAATATAAAAAAAAAAGTATATTTATGACTATGTTCACAAAGGTCATGATAAAGCATTTGTAGAAATAAAGAATGTTAATGATGAGAACAAAAAGGTTTCAGATGAAATTAAAAATTATGTTAACAGTAGAAACATAAGTCAAAAAAAAAAATTGATGATTTCGCGAAATCAATATACTATGTTAATATTCCAAAGTTTTGTATTTTTAGTAAACAAATAAAAATTTGGCAAAATCGAAAAAATACAAAATTAAATTCACTAATAGGAAGATTAAACATAGTATCTCCTAAAGATCATAAAAGGTTTTTTTTTTAATTGGTACTAAATAATGTAAACAAAGAAAAATCATTGAAGAATTTAAAATCATTTAATTTGATAATATACCCAACATTTGAAGATACTACAACAGCAATGGGTTTGATAGAACACGATAGCCAAATAGATTAATTTGTGAAAGAAGCCAGAATCGTTATGTTACCAAATTAGTTCCCACAATTTTTTGCCTGGTTTCGAATTTCAGAAAACATCCAAGGAAATAAAATTTGGAAAACATAAAAAATTTATTTTATTGAAGATTTTATGGACAATAATTAAAATCGTGCACTTTTATTTGTAAATGAAATTTCATAATTAAAAGAAATCCTGTAAAAACTTAAATTTCTACATACCAACAAAAATTGATGTAAAAGAAAATAGCACCATGAAAGAAATTTTTTTTGTACTCACATGTTCAATTAAATGTATGATGAATTAAATAAAGATCAAATAGCGATTTTCAAAATTATATGTCAACAAACAGATAAAATTTTTTTTATTGATGGCCCAGGAGGTTCAGGAAAAACATTTCTATGTAAAACGTTAATTTATTATTTCATTTCTCGTCGAAAAAAAGTTTCATCCATGGCATGGACTGGTATAGCATCAATATGACTCCCGAAAAAAATGACAAGTCATAAAACATTTCATTTACTATTTCATTTAAACAATGTAGAAAATTCGTTCTTGAAATTCAAATCTGAAAAAAAAATTAAAGGAGTAGATTTAATTATATGGGACAAGGCTTCTATCATCCAAAAAAAAAGCGTTGGAAATAGTTAAAAGAACATTACGTAATTTATCTGATATAAATATCCATTTTGATAATAAATCAATTGTTTTAGGAGGCGGTTTCAGACAGATTCTTCCAGTTGTAAGAAAAAGTAATAGGAGCATAATTATACAAGAAAGTATTAAATCATCATATCTTTGATCATTATTTCGTATTCTACAACTTAATATCAATATTCGTTCAATAGACAAAACATTTTCAAAATTATTACTAGATATTGAAGAAGGGAAATATAAATCATTTCAAGTACCAAATAAATGAAAAACAACTAACGTTTGTTCCGATATTTTTGGTAAAGATATTAACTTTTCAATAAATAGCGTTATACTAACTTCTTATAACGAATATACCTACATTTCGAATGATAAAATTCTAAATCATTTAAAAGGAGAATTAAAAACATATTACATCATAGATTATGCTACTTAGTAGGGTGTTGATAAATCTGATAACGATGTTTATATAAATTTTCCAATTGAATTTCTAAACAATATTTGTGAAGGCTTACCACCGCATGAGCTTAATTTAAAAAATAGAGCAATTGTTGATACGAAATTTAAGTATAGTTTATGGCTTATGTAACGGTACAATATTACAACTCACAAAATTACTTAAATACAATATTAAAGCAAAAATTATAACTGGAGAAAAACTTGAAAAGAGAGTTTTTATAACAAAAAATAACTCTTAATGTAGGAAATTTGTCATCATTACCTTTTATTTTATAAATAAAACAATTTTCCTTAGTCTAAGTGTTTTCAATGACTATCAATAAATCTCAAAGTCATAGTTTTAATAATATTTGATTATATTTGAAGAGACCACTGTTTCCGCATGGTCAAATATACGTCGCGTTATCAAGACGCAAAAATGAAAATTGAAGTTATATTTAAATAGAACGTGATAATAATTTAGAAATAGAAAATATAGTTTCAGAAGAAGTTTTTAACGTTAATTAATATAAAGTAGATACAAAAAAATGATAATTTTTTTACATTAGCAAAAGTATGAAATTGTACGTAATACTTTTGCACAGTTCATTTAAATAATAAATAAATGTATTAAATCAATAAGTTATTATTTCAAAATTGTTTCATGACGATGCGCATTATTTGACATATTTCAATAAATGTGATTTCTTATCTTTTCGTGGTGAATAGGGCTACAAGCAAGGTCCACGGTTTAAATATTTTCTAAGTTTATTCGTTGTTATGGGTTAAGTAAAAAATATAATGTTACGTTTTTATACACATTCAATAATTCAATTAATAAACTATTAGAAAATTTCAGAAAAAAAGCCATCGCACCACAGCACTACCTCAACGGTGGTGTGGAAATGTGCTAATGTGCTAGAAATCAGGGGCTTTCTTAAAACTGTAAAGAGAGCTGAGACAGAAGATGCAAATAGTCATATAATTAGAAATGATATAAAAACTTATATAATTTTACCTCATTTAGAGATGTGGCTGAAGGGTGACTGGAGGGAGTTCTTCAAAATTGTGTTGGATTATTCGGTTGTTGGGTTATAAAGTTATGAGAGGGTGTGGAAAGGGACTTAACAAAAATTCAACTCAACAAAAATTGGTAAAATCTGACAGTATGGAAATGTGATAACAAATTACACAACTAAAATAATTACTATATTCAGATAATAATCTGCAGCTAAGGAGTTGAAAAAAGTGGCTGTTTAAAAATTGTGACAGGGCTGAGAGGTCTCTTAAAAAGTGTAGGGAGAGCTGAAAGTGGGGGTGCAAAAAGTAATTAAACTTAAAATGACATGACTCCTGATATAATTTTACTTCTTTTAAAGATGCTGCTAATTGAATGCTGGAGGGAGTTTTTTTTAATTGTAATGGAGGCTTATGGAATTATCCAGTTATTAGGTTATAAAGTTATAAAGAAGGGCTGAAGGTGGTGGATAGGGGGCTAAAAAAAAAATTAACCCAATAAAAATGTAGTTACAATTTATAGAATTTTACTTTACTTTGGGGATAAAGGAGGGGCTGGGTGCTCATTAAAATCCATCCGGGGGGTTGAGGGGCGGTGGAGAGGGCTAACCAATAATTTAACGCAATGAAAATTACGTAAAAACTGTTAGAACATTACCTAATTTAGAGGGGAGGCTGAGGGGAGTCTGAAGAAAAGTGGAGGTGGGATTTGGTGAAATCACTATATAATATAGGAAGATATATAGGAATATAGGTACAGTAGCAGAGTGAGGGGAAGGGAGCGTGTAGTGTACATGCAAGAGAGAAAGAGACGGCACGGTAGGCAATAGAGTGGCAATTTCTCTTTTAGAGAAATACACAGTGTGTAAATGTGTGTAGGAGGAGAGATTGACGAGAGGTCTTGAGCCGCAGTACGCATGGCTACGTACTTTTGTAACACATTTTTCATGCGGCTGTTCACGGCCCAACATAAGAAGTTTCACTTCAAAAATATTTATTTTTACTGGTATAATAGTAATAAATCAAAATGTTTTATAAGTAGATTTTCATGACGTCACAAACACAAAGAATACGTCTATAGCTATTAAAAAAAAAAAATTTCAAGGGGCCATATCTTGTAAAATTTTTAATTAAAAAAAAGGAAAAAATTAAACTTTTTTCATAAAAAAGGTACGCTAGAGCTCTTAAATTGTTGATAGTACTTAATTTGCAATTAAGCGTCTTTTCTACATCTCTCTTTACCATTAATCTATTGAGAAAACTAATTTTATTAAATGAGATATGTTTAGTATAAATTTTTACGAATAAAATGAGCTCTTGTTGGACTCTGTAGGATGACGTCTGGCTGTAGAAATTACTTGTCCAGAAACCACTTTTTTGATAAACAATTACCATTGGGCAAAAACAGTTAAACATACAACATCCAGATTAGGAAAAGTTGTAGTACCATACAAGAGCTTCAATTTCTTTGCATTTTTAGATATTTCAGAATAATTTTTTATTAATTATAAACAAATTTTTAAAACCACTGTTCTAGCGGTAATTCGGATTTTTTAACTAAGCCAATTATCCGATTGTTAATTATCATGGCTCATTCTGTAGGTCTTTTGAATACCTGAATTTTTTATGATAGGCAATTTTTAAATAAATATAACATGTAAAATGTTAGGATCAGAAAAGTACTCTTCTGCACCATTATTGGCCTAAAAAAAATTTCCAAATAAATTCAGCTATCCAAAACAATTTATTATTGAAAGTCACTGTAAAAAATGTAAGAATGAAAGAGAAAGAGAGAGGAGCTCGATTTTACAGTACTATGACGTGTTATCGATTGTTTGTATAAACCACGCCCACGAATCGTAAATTTGACGTTTCGAAAAGCCGCGTGCACGGCTTTCGTTTGGAATGTCCAGGGCCGCATTTTCCTGTTCAAAAATGAAAAGAGCACCGGGGCAAGGGGGGTAATGGCTCTTTTGCGGACGGAAGGCTATAGTGGCAATTATTTTATACAGCAAATTACATTGTAACCAGGCAAATTAACAAAGTGACTATGTTGTCAAGGAGAAGCAGCTTTCTCTTCACTTCTATCTGAAGACTCGAACCTCACACACATTTTCTGTTCCTTCGTTTTTCCGTTTACTTTTGATAATAAAGTATCGAATAAAAGTTTACATGTACGTATTTTTAGAAATAAGTTTTTACAGTCACTAAAAAAAGTTTTCAAAACAAGTGATAAACTTACTTGTGCACTTTTTTTCTAAAGAAGGGTCTGAGCGTCTTATTTTCCTGGTCTAGAACTGTCTAAGACTGTACAAATTTACTTACGTTACAATAGAAAATTTTACCAATGACTTGGTTGTTTGTGTTTGAAACTCAGGATACCTATTTACTTTATTTACGTACAATATCACTTTATCCTAAATAATATTTTCCAGTTGAAACGAAAAACGGACGTGAAAATCACCACGTAGTATACGGTGTGACACCAAATTCTGAAAATGATTATCAAGATGAAGAAGAAAGCAACACAGCAAAAGATCTAGATGACACTTTCTTAAAAGATCTGGGTGTAAATTTAGTTGATGAGAAAGATGAGGAGATGCCTCCTTTTCGCTTATCCGATCTTACAGCTGAATACTCTTCAGATTCTGGACCACAGTCAGAGCCCCAAACTGACGAGGATGATTCCCGTCCAGTATCTCGCTTGGGATCTAGTAATTCACGAATAGCCTACATTGATCGTTCAGGTGGTACCACGAGTGAATATTTGTTTGGTAGAAGTGAAGATTTTGTTGTTGACACTCCAGAGCTGCAAAAAGAGGGAAATGAAACTCTGAGGTCTAAAAGTATTATGAAAAACGTTAGTTTCTTTACGACAGAAAAACTGTTGTGTAACAAAGCTGATGACGTACCTCAAACACTTTTACAGGAGAGAAAAAGAAGCAGTGACGACTGTCTGCTGTCAAGACGGTAATATTTCTTCTGCACTTTTTTCATTAAGGCATTTTATAACTCAAGGAAGTGAATAAAATTTAAATGATCTCGTTAATTCCAGGTACAATCTCAAATTTTTACGAGGAAATGAGAATGATTTAATCAATGATGACACTTCAAGTCCGTACTTCCGTTCAAAGTCCATGGTGGAATTGCGCAGGAGAAAAAATCACGACAACGTTCTGCGCCAAACCTCTGATACCACTCACGATGTAAAAAAGACTACCCAACTTTACCAATATGAAGATTCCGTGGACAACGTCAAGAAACTTTTGGAGGAGTATGAGAGGAATAAACTTGGCTTCCGCATTAATCCATTTCTTCAAGACGAGCAGCAAAAAATACTGATGGGAAGACGATGCATGAGCAGTTTGGATGATGACAGTCTCTTTAAACAATATGTAAACAGGGATAGTCAATTGCATCAGAGAGTATGGGCTGAGATAATTGTGGCGTCAATTCATTTCGCTCTTGCTTTGACGGTGAATTAACAAAATTTTTTTCTTCAACAGACTTTTTCTTAATTATAATTGTTTGAGGACCATTTTCCGATGCACGATTACTGTACATAAAAATATTTATTCGTACTTTTTACAATGCAGATTTAAGTTTTTCATATGGTGTGCCCTATTATTATTACTATTTAATGTTTTTCTTAGTAATATAATTCGACCCAATTTTTTTTTAATTATAAAAAAGAATCGGTGGAATACAATTTTTACTGCTATAAAATATTGTCCCTAATAGCACACAACATGTTTAAAACATACAAAATTTTTGAGCTTTTTGCGAACAAAAATTATGCTTGCACTTCTTTCGCATTTACTTGCATGTCAATATTACAAGGTTGATGACAATACCTAAAATGGTAGTCAAAGATATTGTGTGATGTTAACTTTGTTTAACATTTTTTTTGCTCTCAGGTTTTCCATAATATTTTATGATTATTCTTAGCAATAAACGTATTTTGCTTAATTCATTTAACTAATTATATAAAATTGATGTAAATGAACTACAGATATAATTTCTAGGCTGGAATATAGGGGGGGTCCAAAATAACAAAAGTTGGTTTTTAAATAAGTTTAAAAGGAGGGGAGCAAGTATGTATAAAAGCATGTATGTGAGTACATCCACATTTGAAAAAGAATTGCTAGCTTTACTACACTCATTAGCGTTCCTCTCACTTCTTTGAACATTTTCCCTACAAACTATGTAAGGAACGTCCTTATGTCAAAAAATTACTTCTATTACACATCAAAAAATTGTGAAAGAATAAAACACAATAATAATTAATTATTGTACTTGTACAGTATAAAAAATTTTTTTTTAATTTTTGAAAATTTTGGAAAAGTATGAAAAATTGCATAAACAATTATTTATTCATTGTTGAAGGAAAAAACTAATTACACATAAATAAATATTTATTAATAGGAAAGCTGTGCTGCTAAAATATACTAATTTTCAAGTTTTCAAAAAAAACATTTCACTAAAAAAGTTAGTTTATTATGTATATTATATAGTAAACTAACTATAGTTTGTTTATTAATTTCATTTATAACCAAACCAAATGAATAAATAAACAGCATATACAAATTTACACTAAAAATCAGTTACGAACCACAAGATAACATGCAGAAATCAGAGTTTCATGTCGGGACCGCTCATAGCAGAGTGGGTAANTAGGTAAGGGCCGCGACCAGAAAGTAAGAGGTCAGGCGTTTAAACCTCTGTGGAAACTGTTTAAAAAAATTTTTTTTTTTAATAATTGGTTAAAAGAAAAAGAATTAAAATTTATAAAATTTAAAATGTGTGGTGTGGTGGCGTTATGTGGTGTAGAGGGGGTCGGAAGTACGTCATGGGGAAAGAGGTGAAGGAGGGAGAATTAGGCAAAATCTACTTCCGTCGCACTTTTTCTCGAGGCCACCAATCTAAAATCGTTGATTTACCCTTACGCACAACGCGCCTATAGAAGTTTTACTTCAAAAACTGTTCTCTGTTGTTTTCATACCGACATAAGTCCATAATTTTAGAAACGACTCTATCAATATAAGTCCATAATTTTAGAAACCACTCTGTCAAACATTTTGTTTAGGAAAAATAAATGTCAATACTGACAAGTAAACTTATTTCTTGTTTTACAGGACGAGCAATTATCGCCTCTGCTCCCCATATTAGTAAGTGGTGTTAGAATTTTGACGCAACACGTTCACGAACCTATGCTCCAGCAGTGCCAATCAGATCTGTTCCAGCGCATCGCTTACATCTACAAATTGGGTACCGGCTAGAGAAAAACTGATCATTTTCCACTATGGTATAAAAGTGTTGGTTACCTATTGCAACATGCGATTTCATTTTTTATCGTGGGCCAGAAAACTATTTGTTGCAAGATGATATTTATTTTTTAAACTAAAAGGTTTCCAGTATTGTATATTAAAGAGTGTTATAATTTTTGAAGAATGTATTACTGAAACAATAATAATTTAATGAAAAATCTGGCTAAATTGTTTAAAAATATTGAGTTAACTTAGTTAAATTATATGATAAGAAAGATAAAAATTAATGCTAGAAGGCTCAAAATCCTGATCAATTGTACATGAGATTAAACAAAGTTCTAATAGAACCAAATTAATAACAAATGCTTTGCCTTAAATAGCCTTGTCATCTCTATTATTTCAAGATAAAATTACTTGAGTTCAGTAAAACTAATAAAGTATTTAAAGAAGCATTAACTTGTGATTTTATAAGAAGCCCGTGAAATTAGCTACGTCCTATTATGTTTGTCATTTGGATATAACAAAAAAAAATTTCTTGTTTTCTAATAATCTCTGTAGTGTAGAAAGTTTAGCAAACATATTGAAAAATTGTTATTCAAAAAATTACATTTATGCTGCATTTTATAAAATGTTTTTTNTTGTAATGTGCAGCAAAACACAACAGTTAAACATTAAATTGTAAAAATTGTATTTGTACAGTGAAACAGTTTTAATAAAAGACTAATTTATAGAAAATATGAAATGATTTTAGTTGCTTATCTTTTATTTTCGGACTAATGATTAGTTAAAAAGATCTCTGACAGTCATTTCCACATATATAGGCAGTAATTTCTGACTCAATTACCGTCAATTGACATGATGTCAGACAGATTTTTCTGACTGGTCAATCCACATCACTGGTCTTATTGAAGAGCAGTAAGTAAAATGGGACTATGTTGGTTCATTGAAGCGCTTTTAATAAATGTATTTAGGATGTTATATGTAAGAATTTTATGTATAAAACTGATACTAAAATTGTGTTTTAAATTAAAGCTTAAGATGTTGCATCAATTTAGTATAGTTACTTATGTCACTAATATAGAAAATATATAGTTTTCGTCCTAGCATTGACAACTGACGGCCAGAGGTAAAGCGGTGTCCAGATCATCTAAGTATTAGTGTCAAAGGCATAGCTAAGAATGGCAAATGGACGAACTGAGGCTTCCTTTTTGCCTAGAAGCGTTATTCGTATACTATCATTAAGTTTAACACAACTAATGTATAAAAAATAAGAACATTAAATTAATACTTAATGTAGTTTTTCAAGGCAAGTTAAGGACTGTTAGAGATATTTTTTCATTGATCATGACGCTAAACATCATTAAAGAACTAGGAAGTAAATAGAGATGGAATAAACATGTTAAAAATTTTTCCATTCTCAATTCCATGTGCTTAAGAAACGCATACTCATGTCAATTGAGTATTTTTTTTTCTTGAGTGCACAACTCTAATATGGACTGAGAGAAATGCATAAAAATTTTATTAACACACTGTGTGTGGTATGCCGTGTTCATGGTTAAGGTAAAAATGATAGTTAATGATGATTAAAGATTTTTTGTTCTCTTCAACGAAAAAGAAAAATGTGTATTTGTATACATACTCATACGCCACAATAAGTCCTTCAACCCTGAATCTTCCATAACTTATCCGATGGCTCCAAAAAAGGAAAATAATTGATGAAATCCACCTAATCTCCAAATAACATTTTGAAGATTAGAAACATCTGGATTAGAAGCCACAATGTCTCTTCCTTTCCAGTGCAGGGGTTAGTCAAACGTGATTATAGCCATATTTTTTTAAAAAGATTTTACTCTTTGTGAAGTTTCCACCAGCGCTATGTAAATAGTGTCCAAACTACTAGCAGGGGCATAAATAAAAGGTAAAAAAAATATTCTTGAAGTATCACATGTTAAATGATTAGTTGTCTTTTCTAAAAAACCATTCCATTCAGAAACTTGGTTTTGTTGAATAAATTTAGCGAAAATCCACAAAAAATCACTGTGAAGCGTATTTAAATTGTAATCACATGCATTAGAAATATGTAATTTTTTAATTTCAATAGATAATAATTCAGAAGAATTTTTTTGATAGAAATATTTTATGTCAATCTTGCCCAGTTTTTCTATATGAGCAGCTGAGAGCAGCTTCGTCTCTCGTTTCATCTTGCTACCAGCATTCTGTACGGCTGTGGAAGGTGTTATACACTTAATCCCACCCATAACATGGTAAGTATTTAGCCCACCTAAAGTATTGACATCATACTCCGCATTGTCAAAAACATGCTGTTTAAAGCAACGCGATATATCTGGATACCGTTTGTGTAAAATTGACGAACATTGCAAAACTTCCACTTCTTTATTCGAAGAAGAAAAACCGAGGAAGTGTAAAATGTTAATGAAATCTCTTGAACCAAATCTACGGTGAATTCATGGCCGTACCGCTGCGATGATGGCGTGGGCTATTAAAACAATTTTTGCATTCCACTTTTCATTATTCTTTAGTACTGAGAATCAATTTTTCCAAAAAAAAATGCAAACTTTGAGGAACATTATAAGTTGCATCTCCTAAGAAATCTTGAGGTGGTGGATACATATCCGTCTCATACACAGTTGATCGTATATCTTGTAATAGTATGGCAGTGGCAGCAGTTAAAATTCGATATTTTTGAACATCAAGATCATGTTCTCGAGATTTGTACCATACATCATTTAAAATATTATGTAACTTTGAAGTAACGCTCAAAATAATGTTATTGTTTTTTTTAGTAACAATAAGATTATCGCAAAATTCCTCATTTAATTTTTCACAATCCAATCCATGGAAGGTAATTGATCATTTGTATATTGAGTAAGTATTTCGTGTAGTGAAAATGGACACTCGTGACTATTTTGTTCTATAAATAATTAAATATGTTGCAAAACTGGATCTGTAATATTTTGTTTGTCTTTTGGGATATAATTTCGGTGTAGTTCGACCAAGCAGTTTTGTGGTAGCGAGCCTTCCTGAAGTCTAATTTGAAGATTGAAGTAAACCACCAAAATCATTCAACCCATTTTTTGTTTGTAAAAGTTCTGCAATACTTTCTATCGTTGATAGTGAGTCAACAAAACAAATATGAACGCGTTTTGGTCTTCGTTCTTTAACTTGTCGTTAAATGAATTCATCTGATGCCTCTGTATGGCATATAATAAACAAATTTTGGAAATCAAAACCATCGGAAGTAACAGTTTTCAATTCGGACTTACCAGCTGTCACTGGTGACAGGCTAGTTTTAGCGGGAGGGATATTTGAAGATAAATTTTTCTGATGGATATAACTTGAGTAGCAAGTTTTAAGCAGCATACTATCATAACTCCGAAACAACATAACTTTGTTGTCCCCACGAAGTCTTATAAGAAATTAGTAGTTAATACATGCTGATATGTTTAGTATAGTGTTATTGGTTGTTATCATTAAATGGGAGTCTAGTGTATTTCAAAAGTAAGATTGTAATGTGCAGCAAAACACAACAGTTAAACATTAAATTGTAAAAATTGTATTTGTACAGTGAAACAGTTTTAATAAAAGACTAATTTATAGAAAATATGAAATGATTTTAGTTGCTTATCTTTTATTTTCGGACTAATGATTAGTTAAAAAGATCTCTGACAGTCATTTCCACATATATAGGCAGTAATTTCTGACTCAATTACCGTCAATTGACATGATGTCAGACAGATTTTTCTGACTGGTCAATCCACATCACTGGTCCAAGCCCATACAAAAAAAACCATACCATAATTTTATGCAAGGTCTTATTATTATATAATTTTATTGAAATACAAGTAATTTTTCAAAGTAACTTTTTATAATTAATATGTTACATATATGTATTGCACTAAAAATAATGAGCATATACATACAAATTATAGCCAATATAAATGTTTCGATTTCATAATATTTGTAAGATTATTATCAAAATATAACATGCTACTATATTTAGTATAGTATTGTTGGTAGTTACCATTAAATGTGAGTCGTAGTGTGCTTCAAAGGTAAGATTGTAATGTGCAGCAAAACACAACAGTTATTATGTTCATTTTCCTTGTTTTACAAAAATACGAGTGAGAACAGATAATAGTAGCGTCATCCACTTTTGACAAAGAATATATAATGTACAAGCATAATATAAAGATAGTATGAGCATGTGCTTAGTAACAGTAATGCTAAAATTATGACTTTAACCTCTGTTATAAGTGAATAACGCACAAAATATAAGCTATTAGTAACGTGAACACATCGAGCCATCGACTTAGATGTTTTAAGAACTTTTTGCACGTTTTAAAAGACGGAAGTTTATTACAAAGTCTAGCGTACAGTCCTCAAAAAAATTACATCTATAGAGTAATGGGTTAGAGACAAGCTTTATAGTGAATTTTCAAACATTGGTCCACGTTAAACCCGCCTTGGCATAGCAGTGGAATGTTACCGCGATAATTCAAAATAAGTACCTGCGGACAGGCCGCTCACGTAACGAGCGTAGTGCCAAAAATTACCAGTTTTATAAATTTTTTATTATAAAACAAAGAATACCAGGAGCTCGAAAATTAAGTATCTAATTACTTATTGCCTGAAGTATAATTTGTAAAATTTTCAGAAAAAAATATTTACAAATTCGGTCATAATGGTCAAAAATCTGATTTTCTCATATTTTGGCTATCATTTGAGCTAGGCCAGCTTTTTTTTTTTAAAGATTGTGTTTTTTTATGACAATTAAAGATCCATTTGAAAAAAAAACATTACAAATTAAGAGAGATATTTGCATTTGTTAAAGTTGCAAAATTATTATTTTTTTTTTAAATCGGTTTCTTATTAAAAAGTAAAAATTATTTTTATAAGTTACTGAACATCAATTATTAACTTTTTACCAAGCCATGTCTTCCAAAAATTTGTTCTAGTTGAGAAATACGCGGTCGAATTTTCAAATTGAAAAATTAATAAACAAAAAACTACTAAATATTTTCAAATTCTACAAAACATGTTTTGTTAAGCATAATTAGTGTAATGTTGGTGCGACGTATTATTCGAGTCCAAGCTTTCGCTTAATAACTCGGGACACACGCTGGGCACGTTAATGGGACACAGAGCTAAAGAGACAGTTCTAACTAACGACACAATATTTGTAAAGAAGCTACGACTGTTTTAACACAACTTGAAGTGATTATTATGCAAGGAATATCCGGATGCACTTAACTTGCGCGTGATGCGCCTAAAATTAGTCGATTTTATCCAGAGCGGTGTAACGAAGGGTATCTCATCCACGATCTAGACGATGCCGGCACCGTTACGGGAAAAAGTTTTGTTTCTCGCGACCAGGCTCGGATGTACTAATACTGTCACGAGTACTAATTTTCGCTTTGATACTGTTAGTTCTTGCTCCGATAGTACCACTACCATGGCGGATAGTGGCGTGCACGAAAAATAACTTATCAATTTTCAAGAGTCCACGGTTACCAATACCGTGGTGGATATTGATGCACGCGTAAACAACTTTAAATAATTTTCAAGGATCCTTGGGTACCAATATCATGGCGGATATTGGTGCACGCG